TTGGACTTTTGCCAGCGACTTCCTTGCAACATCTTAATTATCCATTTTTTGCTTAGCAAGTCAGTCTAGAAAGAGCTGCTTCTTTTATTCTTGAAAAGTAAGTAATTGGGAATGTTCAGTGAAAACCAGTATGTGCTGAACTTCTGGTCTGTGCTAGGTTCTGGGGAAGGGGAGGCAGTCCCTGACCAAGGGGATCTCACAGTCAGTGAGGAGAGTGTCCCCTGAGGCTGCTGGGAAGAAGTAACACATTTCCCTGTCCAGTGGCAACTACCTCCCCATCACCTAATCCCTGCACCCAGAGCCCAAACTCATCCTAAGCAAAGGCAACCAGGCAGCTGTTCTCCTGTTCACCCCACCTCAGGTCCTCACTACATTCCTACCAATACCATTCTAAGCTCCCAACACATTTTGTGAAAGTCAGTCAGTTCAATTCATCATATAGTCATTGGTTCTAATGTCTTGATTCTAAGCTTATTTTATACATTGTGTCTAATTTATTCTTTATAACAACGCTATGCAGTAGAGATACTTCTTCATGAATTACAACCAGAGAACTTGGAGAGGCTGAAGAATTTGCCTGCAGTCATCCAGTAAGGAGGTGGAGCCAGGATTCAAACTCTGGTCTGATTCCCGGCCCTGGTGGACACTGGCTTTCAGAGCTGTAACTTGCAATTTTGGTGCCCAGAACCAGCCGCACAAAAGCTCCACAAATGACTTTGTGATTTATTATGAAACTCAAAGAAAGAACAACCCAGCAGCTTCCTACTTTAATTTTCCTTGCTAATGACAGTTTTCAGCTGAAGAAATCCGTGTGCTGTCAACATGGAAATATAACCTTTTTTTTTTTTTTCTTTTCCAACGTCTGTTCCCGGGACAGAGCCTCCCAGTAGGCCTTCCATTGTGCTGCATCTGGTCCCTGGAGTTTTACAGCTTCACTACAAACACAAAACAGAGTGGTTAACACGAGCAATCCTGAATTGCGTAAATGTGCTGGACGCACATGCTACACTAGGAAAGTTCTTCATATTCAGGAGAAACACTGTGGCCCTGAGAGGCCGGGGAAGGCCAAGTGGAAGAGGAGAGTTCGTGGGTGGGTAGGATTTAGGACCAGAGGAGAAGAATTGCAAGCAAGAACTGGAAGTATACAGTTGAGGCTGGGAAGAGCTCACATTGAGAAGTGGGGGAACACATAAAGTTGGAAAAGTAGGTTGGAGCCAAATTGCTCAGGACTTTAAGTGCCAGAAGGAGGAGTTAGAGAATGGAAGCTGGGAGACCAGGCAGGAAGCAGCTATGTTTCAGGAGAGAGAGAGCAAGCGTCTCTCCCAAAGTGGGATCACAGGTAGGAAACGAGTGAGAGGCATTTTGAAGGATGAAGGCTCCTCTGTCTCCTTGCCCAGGAGCCCTGCCCTCTGCTAGGCAGTAGGACTAGTAATGCTGATTAACTGGTCTGCCAGTGGATGCGTTGGCCCTCACTGATGACACAGCACCCTTCTTGGAGAAGAGTGGGACTCTGGCCCCCTCTCCCTCCATGTTCAGCTGCCCACATCACTCGACTCTTCCTGTCCACCACACTTACCCTCCCAAGTGTATTTCCTTGTCTGCAAAAACAGCATGAGAAAGCTCCTCCTTCCTAAGTTTATTGTGAGGTTGAATAAGATCATGCATGGAAGATGCAAAGCACAGGGCCTGGCGCTTGTAACCGCTCAGCAGATGGGAACCGCCAGTATGAATATTCTGCACTCTTGGTCAGCTGGGACCCGCTATTGAGAGTGACTATTCTCCTCTTTCTCTGTGAAACATTAGACGCCAGCAGATAGCTGAAGGTGAAATCAAGCAAGTTTGAAGTGTGCTGTCTCTCTGGGGATCCTTGCCAGGTAAGTTGGACATACGCAACTTCCTTAAAAAAGAGCCAGAAGTTGTTTCCATCTGACGGTGAAGCATGACTTCATAGTTTCTTATTCTATAAATGGTACAGACAGACTTTTCTTCCCCTTTGTGTTTATACTATGATATCTTGGAGCCAAGCTATAGCAGAGCCCCTGGATAGGAATTTAGGATGCTTTTGGATCCCTTCCATAGAGGTCAAGTCCTGGGAATACTGGAAGGGCCTTCACACAAGAGCTCCCTCATCCCATCCCTGTATGTCCTGAACATCGAAAGAGAGGAGGAACTAACATTTAACTAGCTCTATCCATGCCAGACAGCGTGCTGTGGATTTGACACATGTCGTGTTACGTCACCCTCACCAGTCCCATGAGATAGGGATGGATACCTGCATTGTTGTAAATAAGGAAACAGTCTCGGTTGAAGGGCCTTACCCACACTCACACATCTAGCCATCACTGCAGCCAACATTCTGCCTCTCGTGCCCCTGGCTGAAGCTCCTTATTTCCTGCATACACTCCTTCTCCCAGGGCTGCTGAGACCACATGGTAAGCCTGCTGCTCTGTTACTGTGAGTTTCCTTTTTCAATGTGTTTTTTATGAGACGAAGCCTCGCTCTGTTGCACCGGCTGGAGTGCCATGGCTATTCACAGGCACGATTGTAGCTTACTGCAGACATGAACTCCGAGGCTCAAGTAATCCTCTCGCCTCAGCCACTCGAGTGCAGGGACTACAGGTGTGTGCCATCGTGCCTGGCCTGTTACCATGACTTTCCAGTCCAACAAATTTTTGTTATAGGATGATTGAGAGGTTTGTAGTTCCATAATGGAGAACTGGCTATAATGATTACCTATAACTATATAATTGGGAATAAACTAAAACAGGTGCAAGCTCTGATCAGTCCCAAATAACATCTTAATGGCAAGTGGAGGACAGATTAAATGGAAGCAAAGCCATAGGACAGAGTACGGAAAGGCATGGTGACAGGAGTTTCTCGTCTGTCTCTAAGCAAGTACGATGGAATGGAGAGTCAATTCAATTTAGATAGAAACTGAGATCAAACAACAGAACATTTTAGCTTCTATTTTAACTATGTATTTTACAGCTGGATTCCAAAGAAAATAAATAAATTATATTTGCACCTATCATCTTTTCAAGTATCTTTGCCAACAAAGTCATTCAATATATTGAGTGGCCCTGTGGTCAAGTTCTTACACATTAATGTATGAAAGAGGAGAGACAAGACCCTGCAGCAGAAAATCCCACAATTTGAGGGAGGAGAAATGGGAGGAAGGAGTTGTTTAAGAAAAACAAAATACATACAAAGTAACGTGTTTGCAAGTGGCAGCCGTGATAGCTATGGGTGTGGAGTTGCCACATGATGATGTTCCATGACTGGCTACCTGATCAGGCGGAGCCTCAAAGGGCATCTGTGGCTTGGTAGAGGCCTGGGTCCAGATCTAGCCCTTAACTTTGAAGTTTCAGAAACCCCATGTTGTAATCAGCCCACACAATGTTGACCAGGCCTCAAGGAATGGACTCTTGCCAACCAAACTCCCGTAGTAGACTGATGGGAAAACTGGCATGCCAGTTGAAGTAATGTACAACCAGAGACACTCCTTTCTAATTACTATGCAGGGGACCCCTTTCTGCTGTGTACCAGGAAAACTGAACTTGCATTTAGAAAATTGCTTGTTAAACGGGAATCAGGGTAAAAGAAGTCTTCAAGGGTATGTGGCTCAGATTGTGGCAGAGTCTGGAATGTTTTTACCTTTTCCTGACCCCCCTGGGGAAACACCAGCTGGACTCTTACTCTTCACCTCTCTTCTTCTAGGCTCTTTACAGACTCTTTCATGCCTTTAATTCTCATCAAATCACATGACTTATTACATCTTACCTTGTCATTACTTTTTGTAATTTAATCTTCCAACAAACTTTGGTTATCTAATCTTGATGTAGCAAACCATGAAATCCTCAGCAATGCGTTTGCAAAACCACCCCAAGGATGGGTTGCATCTGCACGTGTTTAATCTCAATTTATATTGTGAAGATTCTTATGGCTTCCCCTTCAAATCCTGACACCCTTTGACCTTGTCCCCAAATTCCAGAGGTGCTATTATCCATATGGACATATGTTATAGATTCCAGAAGTGCTAGAAGATTCTGGAAGACAAGAGAACTGAATTTATATTGCTCTGAAACAGGTTGCACAGAACAGCAAGTCTCACACCACTCCTCTTTCATGTCTGGTGCAGCACAAGTGTATAGACAGCTCATCCCTGGAGCTCATGATAACAGAGTTCCTTCTAGCCCACTTCTGTTGTAGTCAGCCCCAGCTACTATAACAAAATACCATAGACTGGGTGGTTTAAACAACACACATTTATTTCTCACAGTCCTGGAGGCTGGAAAATCCAACATCAAGATACCAGCAGATTCTGTTTGGGTGAGGGCTCTTTTCTTGGCTTGCAGACAGCCACCTTCTCACTGTGTCCTCACGTGGTGGGGAGAGTGAGCTCTGGTCTCGTCCTCTTCTTATAAGGATGCTAATCCAGAAATGGAGACCCCACGTTCATGCTCTCATTTAAATCTACCAGAGGCCCCGCCGCCTAATAAATATCATCACACTGCGAGTGAGGGCTTCAGTATGTGAATGGCAGGGGCACATTCAATCCATAGCAAATGCCCACCAGGTTCTGCTGTACCAGATATTTTCAATTAAGTGGGGAAAATGTGGATAGTTTTCGGTATACATACAACTTTTGGTTTTGGGGGCCCAAATGAAAGGTGGTACAGAAAGTTTGTTTTCTAACCAGCTTATTAAATGAGTTTCAAGTACAGAGTAAAGAAAATTAATGTAACTAAATCTTGGGACATGACTTTACTGAGGATTGTCCAGGGTCTTTTGAGGCCGCAATTAGAGACGAGACCAGACCTTTCCATTCCTCATCTGCTCTGCTGGACTCCAGAACACTGCCTTTCTCCAAAAAGGAAAATTAAAAACAAATTCTCAAGTGGTTTGATAGTAATTCAGCCCAGCAAATTTTACTTTCCATTAAAAGTCACCAGCTGTCATGTGCTTAGCTTTAAATGGAAATAACTTGCTCTCAAAGAACATTTTTCAGTTGATGTCACTTGTGAGTTTTATTTTCTCCTAATGAAAAATGGATTTGCATTAGTGCAACTTTGGTGACAGGAAACCCCTGGATGGAGGCCTGAGTTGGTGATCCGCCCCTGCCCTGAGGAAAGCTATACCAGCCAGCGTGGAAGATTGACGCTGGGGTCAGGAGGGGGCTTTGGGGAAACAGAGGGGAGGAGTGGTGATAATGGTCTGTCTTCTTCGCAGTGAGAGTCCCCATGGTGCTTCTTCCCTTAAAAAAAAAATAATAATAATAAATAAATAAATGAAAAAAAGAAAAGAAACATAAAAAATGCTTTTAAGTGTTGAGATTTTGGAGAGGGCAGTGAATATTTTAATGTGATTAATGTTTTTTAGGGAGGCAGCCCTTCTGAGCCTGTAATGCTCCTGTGCTCAGAGCCCGTCGCACCTGAGGCCTCATCCCTACAGAGTTCTGTGCGGAAGCAGCCTCTCCGTGGCCTCTGCTGTTCAGGTGCCTCCCAGAATCTCTTGTCGGTGGCAATTGGAATGATCTCTTCATGACCCTCAAGAACAAAACAAAGAGAATCTCTACACTGAAGCTCCTTGAAGGCTGAACTAGTCCCTTGTGCGGTCCTGCCCCTGTGGCACCTCACGGGAGAGCCAGGACACTCAGGAGCCCCTGCAGTGGGCCCGGCAGACAGAGGAGGCAGGAGGGCAATTCCTAGAACCCTTGGCTTTTGCTGCTGGGAGGCCCTGGGCAGGGTGGGCAGAGCAGACTCTTCAAGAGTCATTCCAACAGGGCCCTGCCCCACTGAAAAGAATGAATGGAGAGACCAGAGCCACTGGGAGCTATGGAACTAGGAAACAGAGAAAGGGAGACGCCAACAGCTGCAACACTCGCAGGCCCCCAGACTGAAAGCTGGCAGTGTACTTAAAGCCATGTCCTTAAGTGGGCTCTCTGACCTCACCGCTCCCCTACATACATGCACATGCACACACAGGCATCACACCCACCTCTGGGGCAGTATCCATGAATACAGCAGCACGCAAACCTGGGGCTAAACCCAAGGGCCATCCCAGCCTAGGCAAAGCTTCCCTCAGTCCCCCGTCTCCATGCTCACAGCAAGGGCTTAGAAGTGTCCAAGAATTTTTGAATAATGTTCTTGACAGACACCAAAGCTTTTTCCTCCTCCAGAGCGTGGAGGGCTGGGGCTGCCCCCAGGGAAGGCTCCCCTGGCAGCTCCTGTCTGAGCAGCTGGGGCCAGCTCCAGGAACACTAAATTCTGGCCGCGTTTCCAGCCAAGGCTGGGTTACTTTAGAATCCCTCTTCTCTCCCCCTTGTCTTTTCAAGCAGGAGCCAGCCAAGGTATTCGTCATGTTTCCGAGCTACCCTGCTGCTTGATTTATGTGCTCGCAGGGCTGGGACGAAGATGCCAGAGCGGAGTGAAGGCTAACCCCGGGGGTGAGGGAAAGTGGGGTGCTGGACCCTCCCGTCACCCCAGGGGCCACTGAAAGGGTCCCTGGTGTTTGTGTCAACTCTGTTCAGCTCAAGGTGGGAGACTGTGTGAGCTCCACAGTCCCGGGAGCAGAGGATCAGAGAGAACGTGCTCTCCACTCTCTTGCTCTTGCTCTTTTTTGTGTCTCACACTGTGAGATCTTGGCCATAAAAGGAATGGAGCTTTACTTGTCCTCTCACTGGGCTTCTCCTAAAAGGGCTTTCCGAAAAATTTCCAGACTTCTCCTTCGGGACACTGGATGTGGTCTCTTTGGCCAAAGAGAAAACGAGTAACAGACGAAGCCCTTGCAGATGAGGAGGCCAAAACCGAAATGTTAATCACCTCGAAATATGTGCGCTGCTCTCTCCAGTGCCTGTCTTGGCTCTCCTCGGAGGATCTTTGAGGGGGGATTCTCCCCCTGGGGTGGGGGATTTGCCGTTGATATTTGGGAACACTTTTGAGGGTCCAACTTGCAATGACAAGATGATTGTCATTCAGTGTCTAATGTGCCTGTTGCGGTGACTCTGAATGGTTGAAATATTGATTGCAGCTCTTGGTTAAATTAATACTCCTACAACACTCCCATAAAAGCTCAAGATGCTGTCATCCGAGATGAATAAAAATGCCTCTTTTTATTCCACTGCATATGAAAACATGAGATCATTGGAATATATTTAGAGTGAGATTTGGCAGCCTACACATGTTTACAATTCTTGGACTCGAAGCTCTAATGCGAATCAGAGGCACTCTTTTTCCTCTTCGCCTTCTTTTTCTTTCTCTAAGAAGCTGAATGCTGATTCCAAGAGTTTATAATCCCTTTTCTTCATATTACCCAAAGTTAACCTTGCTAAGAGACTAATGACATCCTCAGTTCCAATGGCCAGCTAGAAAGCCTGAGCCTGGAAGTGTTAATGCAATGACTCAACCACTGACGTGGCTCCTCACCATCCATCACCCAAGGCAAAGCCTCCATTGGGCTTGAGAAGATTATCCAAAAGTCCTGCCTTTTCCTCAAGTCTTTGAATCATGACTGGGTCTGATTCTATTGCATAGAAGTCTACAATGCCTAGGGTCAATGACTCTTGTTACTGCATAGATTTTGGTTCCTTTCTGAAGGAAAGCGTGGAGGAAGGCAGAAGCAGCATGGAATCGACACAGGCTGTCTGTGCTCTCCTTCCTTGTACTGCCTCATCTCTAAGGGGCTGGTGCTCGACCCTGACTGCACAGACAATCATCTGGACAGCTTTAAAAACACTGAGGCCTGGTCCGCATCCCCCAGCGACTCTGATTGTATTGATCTAGGGTACACCTGAGCACCAAAAGTTTTTTAAGATATTATACTCTATCCTAATTATGTGTTTTGTTTTTTGTTTGTTTGTTTTTTGAGATGCAGTTTCACTCTTGTCACCCAGGCTGGAGTGAAATGGCACAATCTCAGCTCACTGAAACCTCTACCTCCCGGGTTCAAGCAATTCTCCTGCCTCAGCCTCCCTAGTAGCTGAGATTACAGGCGCACACCACCACGCCCAGCTAATTGTTGTATTTTTAGTAGAGACAGCATTTCACCATTTTGCCCAGGCTGGTGTTGAACTCCTGACCTCAGGTGATCCACCTGCCTCAGCTTCCCAAAGTGCTGGGATTACAGGTGTGAGCCACCACACCCGGCCCCTAATTATGTTTTTTAAAATTACATGTGCAGAGAAAAAAGATTTGGAAGAACAGTCACCAATATGTTAATTGACTATCTCCAAGTAACAGAATTAAGAATTTTTATTCACTTATGTATTTTTCTGGGTGTTCTGAAAAAGTTTTATTCACTGATACATTTTTCTGGATGTCCTGAATTTATACTATTAATTTGTTTCATTGCAATGTCCTTTTTTGCAGCAAAGGACATTGCAATGAAACAAATTAATAGTATAAAGCAGGGGAAATGCTATTTTCCACTTAAAAGGAAGTTAGTTCAGGATACTCAAAACAGAACTCTTCATCTCCCTCCCTAACCTGACTCTCCCCCTGCATCCCCAGTTCTGAAAATAGCACCAGGTTCTCACCAGCCCATGTCCCACAGGCATCCCAGCCTCCTACCTTCCCTAAACCCATTCATCCAATTACTTACCAAGTCTCCACATGCAGCTTCCTTCACACTTAAATTTCCTGACTGCTGTTCACACAGGTGCCACGCCCACTGCATCTCAGTTTGGCTTTCCACTACCTTGCTTCCTACCGATGGGGCTAGGCTGGCTCCTCAGCAGGCTCTCCGCCTCCATGTGGGCACACTGCAGTCACAGGGATCTTCCGTGAACCCCACGTGCGCTCCTGCCACGTGCCTGTTAAAAACCTGCAGGGGTCTGGGCGCAGTGGCTCACGCCTCTAACCCCGCACGTTAGGAGGCTAAGGTGGGCCAATTGCCTGAGATCAGGAGTTTGAGACCAGCCACGGCAACATGGTGAAACCCCGTTTCTACTAAAAATACAAAAATAAATTAGCCGGGCATGGTGGTGCACGCCTAATCCCAGCTATTCAGGAGGCTGAGGCATGAGAATTGCTTGAACCCAGGAGGCAGAGGTTGCAGTGAGATCGCGCCACTTCACTCCAGCCTGGGCGGCACAGAAAGACTGCCTCCAAAATACATAAATACAAATAAAAACCTGCAGCGGCCTCCTCGTTTCCAGAGCACACTGGAGCAACTTGCATGGCTTCCAAGGCCCTCCATGATCTGACCCTGCCCACCTTCACAGGCTCTGGCCTTGCAGCCCTTGCCCTGTGCCCTCCCACCCACCATGAGTGACAGCTGGAGGCCCCCACAGGCATCATTGTCTCCCTGACACAGGGCCTTTGCCTGTGCTGCTCCCGTGCTTGGAAGCCCTTGCCTTCCCCATGCTGTTTTCACCCCTGGGTCACCCCTGCCGCTTTACCTGCTCCTCAACACACAGTCTCTTGCGTGCTCCCGCATGCTTTCACGCCTGGGTCTTTGCTTAGCCTTGGTGATTCCTCTTGTCTTTGTCTGTCTCCCCACTGCCGTCTGACTTCCTCGAGGGCCAGGAGCTTCCATCTGTGTCCAGGCACTGCCCATACTGCCTAGCATCTCCTAACCATTCAGTAAGCGAGTTAAAGACTGAGTCGACAATATTGATTCTTTACATTCATGCAGCTCGTTATGATTTTTCTAAGTACTTTCTTATGTGTGTTTGCGGTTGGGTTTTGTGCCCCTGAAATTGTTTTCAGCAGTATTGCCTGCGCCGTCTGCATTCTCACTTGAGGCTGGCAGACAAGAGAGGTGGTGAAAGTGAGGTGCAGCGTGACCTGGAGGGGTCCTGCTGCCCAGGTCACACAGCTGGTGCCTGGAAGACCCGGCAACCCTCCATCTCTGCCTGTGTTCTCCCCCATGCCCCATGTGTCCCATGTGATGGCTCCACTGCACTGGATCTGGAGTCTGCACTGGGGAGTTGCCCACAAAGAGATGGATATTGTCAGCTACTTCAAATCCTGGCTTCCCCCTTTTCCTGTCATGCTTTTAAGCCAGGAGATACAAAGAGGAAACCACAGCTCTTGAGATGAGCTACTCAAGAGCATGCAGTCTTCTACCATGAACATTTTCTAGAGACGAAGCCGACTCAGTTTGTGTGGATTTCGCCTCTCTGGAGGAAACACAAATTCACTAATCCCTTCCATTTTAATCAAGCCTGGGAGGGAAGGGCTGCCAGGGGATCCTTTCCAGAATGTAGTCAGTGGGGAAAATGCAGAGCCCCCACCTTCCAACTCACCCGCCAGCAGACCACTTCCTGAGACGGTACATGAGGCAGGGACTGAAATTGTGGCTGTGGCTCTGTCAATCAGCCAGATTCGGGAGATGTTTCTCTGGGGTAGAATGACATTAAAAGCGCCCTGTCCCTGGCACATCTAAAGTCATCCTCACCTGAGTCTTTCATTCAGTCTCACTCAGAGAGGGCTCCCTGGCTACTCGCCACCCAAGCAGGGCCAGAGGTGCACCTTTGCCACCCATTTCCCAGGAGGGTACGGGGGTGGGGGTGGGAGAGATTGGGAGGACTACCCCCCATTCCCCATTTTCTGTTCAGATTATCCTACAGCTACAGTGTGAAGCCCCGGGATAGACACTGCCACCACAAGAGCAGAAAGTCACACAGCTGAGCTCAGTAAACTCTTAACCAGCAGCTACCATGTGCCAGATATTATGCTAAAAGCTGATCGGATAGGGACAAATTAGACATGGCTGGCCAGGCATGGTGGCACACACCTATAATCCCAGCACTTTGGGAGGCCAAGGCAGGCAGATCACCTGAGGTCAGGAGTTTGAGACTGGCCTGGCCAACATGGTGAAACCCCATCTCTACTTAAAGTACAAAAAATTAGCCAGGTGTGGTGGTGGGCGCCTGTAATCCCAGCTACTCCAGAGGCTGAGGCAGGAGAATAGCTTGAGCCCAGGAGATGGAGGTTGCTTTGAGCTGAGATTGCACCTTTGCACTCCAACCTGGGCAACAAGAGTGAAATTCCATCTCAAAAAAGAAAAAACAAAACTTAGACATGGCTCCTTGACCAGGCAAAAGCACGCACACATATACACAACCAACCAAGATGTCCAGAAGATAGTGAGGAGAGGTACAAATCAGGAGCTATGGAAGTTCAGGAAAGACTGTTTCCAGTTGAGAATTCAGGAACGGCTTCTCGGAGGAGGTGGCATT